TAAGGGTTAGTGTTAGAGTTAGGTAAAAGGTCACCTGTTTGAGGTTACGTGTAAGGGTTAGTGTTAGAGTTAGGTAAAAGGTCACCTGTTTGAGGTTATGTGTAAGGGTTAGTGTTAGAGTTAGGTAAAAGGTCACCTGTTTGAGGTTATGTGTAAGGGTTAGTGTTAGAGTTAGGTAAAAGGTCACCTGTTTGCCGTTGTGGGTGACGGACTGCAGGATGGTTCGCAGCGTCTTGAAGCCGATGGCCACGTCCAGCAGGTGTGCCGCGAAGAAGAAAAAGTTGAAGTTTCCCAGGATGGAGAAGAAGAAATACCAGAGGAGGTACAGGAACGACTGAGGGGGGGGGAGGAGGAACAGATTAGACCACCAGCTGATTACCTCGTCAGTGGCTACTGGAGTGTGTGGTGTAGCAATAAACCTCTATCTTCACCATCGCACGCAGGAGACATGGGTTCGATTCCCGTGTAGAGAGGGTTATTAATCGAGTGTCACCACCTGTGCGCTGGGAAGGTGTATCTGTCTCGCACCTCTGGTCGAAGCTGCCCGCCTCCTAAATGTTCTACATTGTCTTCATGGAGGCATAAAACATGTACAGTGACACGTTTTGTGTAAGTGGGCGGGGCTTACCGCTAGGTCAATTAATGACCTTGACAGTTTGCAACAGAAAAGCATGTGATACAAACAATATGTGGTCATGTAAAATACACGTTTTGACATAACAAACTGCTACCAACATTTGGTATTTCGAGTGACACAAAATAACACTCTTTTAAGAGTATACAACGTACAAAAATTAATAGCAAAATCTTTACAGAAATTCGGTTCAGTAACGCCTGGAAAAGATTTGAATCAACACCATCGTCGCTCCATCAATGCACTCTACCAACCAGGCCAGTGCAGTTCTCTTCTCTTCCTTTGACCCGACGCTTGGCACCAAAGCAAACACGGGCGCCTGTAATGTAGCCGTTAGCCTTTGTCTCCTCATGCACAACGCGAGGTCTCGTTACGTGCTGTCCTTGCCGCTACAAGATCAATCAAGTCAATCGATATAAAGAACCTGTCTTCTTACACGTGACGCGACGTCTTGTCGCGCGCGACCGTCGCCTGCGATCAGTTCATGTAGTGATCAAGAATTCGTCGTCTGCCATCAGTTCATGTAGTGATCAAGAACTCGTCGTCTGCGATCAGTTCATGTAGTGATCGAGAACTCGTCGTCTGCGATCAGTTCATGTAGTGATCGAGAACTCGTCGTCTGCGATCAGTTTATGTAGTGATCGAGAACTTGTCGCGTGCGACAGACTGGGGGTGTGACAGACTGGGGGTGCGACAGACTGGGAGTGTGACAGACTGGGGGTGTGACAGACTAGGGGTGTGACAGACTGGGGGTGTGACAGACTAGGGGTGCGACAG